TCTCAATGAAAAAATCCATACACTCAAGGATCAGGCTGAAACCTAACCCAGTACACTGCAACCGACTATTGAATAGTAAGCCAATTTGGATTAAATAAGACCATCTTCTGATACAACCATAGTTCATTTTTAGAAGAAAATCTGTATTTTAAGCTGTTGCTTAACTTTGTTCCTATGACAGCAAGCATGCTTTAAATCTTTCCTTCTCTCAAGATTTCAATTACTGTTTTCAAAGAGCTATACATTAGAATTATGCTCTGGTTTTGGAGAGTACTAAAGTGTGCGCTTAACATCAAACCACTCAAAGTTAACATGTATTAAGCATAATCTTGTGTGTTTTACATGTTCTTCAACTAAGAATGAGTGAGAGAATCAAGTCCAAGGTCTTCCTGTACCTAAGGGCATATTGGGCTAGCTTGGCTAAGGCACTCCAGTTTCTATATCCTATTGCTCATAAGCAGGGAGAATATGGCTAGCATCACATTCAGCCACCTTTGACTCTCCTACAGGAATAACCAGTTTCCCATCTACAGTTGATATTGAAAAGATCATGCACAGGAAGCATACAAAGCCCAGGACATTTCAAAGTAAAGATAGAAATAATATGGCATGTTTATCGAGATACTAATTAAAGCACAGATAGTTTAAATTGAAAAGTAAATTATCTGGCTTTAGTGTCATTATTTGAAAGTATTTAAGTAATACGGAAAGAAAATAAGGGTCCATACCCAAAGAATTGCTTAAAAAACTGGAACCTCTACAAGTTGCTGGTGTGACTGCAGACTGGGACAATTACCACTTCAGCATCACAAGGAGTAAGCTGTTAGGCATGGCCAGGCAGTAAAAGCAAACTAAATTTAAAACTGAGAGAAGATTGCTTAGGACAGGAGAGTTCAATCTCCACCCTGTGGCACCATGTCATCTAGCCTGTGAGTCATAGAATCATAGGAAGTTACGACTGGGAGAGACCTCAGGAGGTCTAGTCCAAACCCCTGCTCAAGCAGGACCAGCCCCAACTAGATCATCCCAGCCATGACTTTGTCCAGCTGGGACTTAAAGACCTCCAAGGATAGAGATTCCACCACCTCTCTAGGTAACCCATTCCAGTGTTTCACCACCCTCCTAGTGAGAAAGATTTTTTCTAATATCTAACCTAATCTTCCCTTCCTGCAACCATTGCTCCTTGTTCTGTCATCTGCCACCACTGAAAACAGCCTAGCTCCATCTTCTTTGGAACCTCCTTCAGGTAGTTAAAGGCTGCTATAAAATCCTCCCTCAGTCTTCTCTTCTCTAGACTAAATAAGACCTGCTCCTTCAGCCTCTCCTCAAAAACCATGTCCCCCAACCCCTTAATCATTTTTGTTGACCTCCACTGGACTCTCTCAAACTTGTTCACATCCTTTATGTAGTGGGGACCCAAAACTGGACACAGTACTCCAGATGTGGCTTCACCAGTGCAGAATAGAAGAAAATAATTACTTCCCTCGATCTGCTGGCAACACTCCTATTAATGCAGCCCAGCATACTGTTAACCTTCTTCGCAACAAGGGCACACTGTTGACTCAAATCCAGTATATTGTTCACTGTAACCCCAATGTCCTTTTCTGCAGAGATTAGTCAGTTGGTCCCAAGCCTGTAGCATGGGATTCTTCCATCCTAAGTGCAGGACTTTGCACTTGTCCTCTCTCATGAGGTTTCATGAGATTCCTTCTGGCCCAGTTCTCCAATTTGTCTAGGTCACTCTGAATCCTAGCCCTACCCTCCTGCATATCTCCTACACCCTCTAACTTGGAGGGTGCAAACTTGCTTACGGTGCAATCCATCCCATCTTCCAAATTGTTAATGAAGATAGTGAACAAAACCAGTCACAAAAGCAACCCCTGGGGCACTCCACTTGATAGTGCCTGCCAACTAGACCTCAAGCCAGGGGGAGGTGGGTAGACAGGGTGTTCACCCTAAAGTGTAGCCTACAGTAGCTACACCTTAGTGTAACACAAGCTAGATAATGTGGATCAGAGATAATCCTGCCATAGAATGGCATAACTTTGAGCTGTGTAACAAGTGCTCAAAACTAGTTTCAGGTGTTAATGTGCAGGCAATCTAGGTGTTAGGAGCTCAAGGTGTTAGGAGCTGTCCAAAACTGTGGTGCAACAGGGCCCTTATTGTGTATCAGATCAGTAAAAAAGCATCATCTTCTAAAATTTATGCTAATTAATAGATATTACATTTCTTCTTCTTAGAAAGATCATCAGAGAACAAGACAAAGCAGATACCCACAACTTGAGCTAATTAGGAAGGAACCAGATCAGATAATTGTTTGAAAAAATACGTAACTTCTTTAGTAGGTATAGAATCTAGTTTAGTTTAATAACAGTAATATGAAAACTTTAATCATTTTCTCTTTCTCTTTTTTCCCTTTTAATCATCCCACAGCACCAACCATCAAATTAAAAAACTTAGAGACATACTCCATCCATTGAACAGGTCATGTATGTAAGAATGAAAATAATAAGGCATATCATTCCACTGATTTTAAGCAAAGTTCCCATTGAAAGTCAAGCAGTGTTCTGTTTAAAAATGTGTGGCATGTTACAACCTAATACTATTGCTATTTATTTTATGTGGCTTTAATTTTTTTCTCCCTGACAGACGGTCATGCTCCAATTCCAAACAAAAAAGAAAGCCAGAAAACCAAGTTCTTAATTCAACCACACATGATCTCAACCAAATAGCCAGAAAGAGAAATGTTTTGATATTTCCAGAGCAAAATGTTTTTGGAACTTCTTGTGCTGTAAAAAGTCAGGATAGTCTACTTTAAAAAAAAAAATTCAGATTGAAAACAAGATTCAAAATATCAGAGTTCCCACAAAATGGAAATCAGCTCTGTAAGGTAATATTTATAGATTGCAGGCTATCTGAGAAAAAAGAGAATTTTTACTTTCTTTCTATGTTTCTAACTCCTCCTACTACCAGCACCTGCATAGATATGTGATGCTCCATCATATCACAGATTCTATGTATATTTTTTCAGTTTCTGTTGAAACATTTTCTTTGATCTTCTTAAACAAATTCTGTTGAACACTGCCCCTTTTCTTTCTTCCTAACAATGTTGTAATTCCTGTTTTGACAAGAAGCCAGCAACTCATGTAACCAATGATTCAAGCCAGCTAGCCAAAAGGAAATGCGCCAAATAACATTCCCTGTAAGAATGAGTCCCAGGACATTGATTTTCTTTGTTAGATGAAAATAACATGCGTGTTGTAACTGTTTTTCCCTTTCTGCATCTAATCAGTCCAGACAGTACCCAACAATGTTCTGTAGGAATGAGTCTATCAAGCATCCAACGGCTTTGTGTTTTGCTTTTAGAAAACATAAATTTGTGTGCTTCTCCTAGTCATTACTTTCTTTTTATACATTGATCCAGTTCCCCAAAGTTCAGGGAAGTAGACTGGGAGAAACAATGACCGCTGATCAGATACACCAATTCTGTTGGTGTACAGGAGATTTTGCCACCAGTGAGTCAGAAGATTGAACATTGCATCATAAAACATCAACTTATCAAAGCCTAAGTGGGCTTTTGGAACTTGTGGATTTGGATGAGTCTGGAAAAGACATATTGTGGAGGAGAGAATGGATAACAATCTTCCAGCGTGACCTGCGGGGTGGCCACGTAGAAGGTGGAGACAGAGGCTATTCTTTGTGGCCATAAGAGACAGGACAGGAGCAGTGGTCTCCAGTGTAAATGCTGAAGGTTGCCAGTGCAGAGGAATGAGGGAAAGTCCTGTTGTTCTCCCTTTTAGCATCTGCTCTGTGCCGCTGTGTGTGGGGCATGAAAGGATCATGGGCATGGGCCCAGGCAGCAATGCTCAGCTCTTGTTCTTGAAGGAGGCTGTTCAATGAGCACCAAGAGATCCCTTGGCGCAGCTAAAGCACCAACAAGGACAGAAGCGAGGGCCAGAGGTTAACAATGAGGGCCATAGGCAATGCGTAGGGGGAATCCTGGAGGGCACAAGATTGCCCGTTGCCAAAGCCACCACCGGCTTCTGTGGGCAGTCACTGCTCACACCCACCCCTCCCTCGCTGCCGCCGCGACCAGTGGTGTCTGCGGGTGGTCCCTGCTTGCCTCCCGACACCCCCCCCCGCCAACACCGATGCTGGTGGCTGTGTGCAGTCCCCGCTCGTCTCCATGGTGGCCCCCCAATCTCAGGAGACACCAGCCATTCATGACAAGGGCTCCAAGACAGGCCTCTGGGCAGAGCTGATGGGACGCACCCCCTGGCCCTCCACTCTGTGGATTTGGATGAGTCTGGAGAAGAGATGTTGTGGGAGAGGGAATGGATACAATCTTCCAGCATGACTGTGGGGTGGCCATGTGGAGGGTGGAGACAGAAGCTGCTCTGTCACAGGGAGATGGCCCCACAGTCCCCAGGGGGCTCCTGGCTGCAGCCCCCTGCCCGCTCAGCTCCTGGCAGCTCAGCTGGGGCCGGGGGCTGCGGGGTCCTGGACGGGGCAAGCTGGAGGCAGGGGCTGCGCCAGCAAAGGACAGCACGTGCGCTCCCGGGAAGAGGGGCAGTGGCTGCAGCATTGCCAGGTCTTAAAGATGAAACGATTGTACTGGAAGCTCAAAACGATCCTATTTGCTGAAAAACTAGCGTACCCTGAAAAAGTATGCCAATAAGTATGCAAATTAAGTCGTCTTCTTCTTTACCTGATACTGCTCGCTACAAGTCTCCACTGAGTGAGTGCGACCTGGTCAGCAAAGGTGAAGCATTTCTTTATTTGCAGGCAAGCAGCCATAAGGACGAGCCGACAGCGACCCTGCGGGCAGGGCAGGGCAGGCCAGGCCCCCTGAGAGGCGCTTCACCCCGCATACAACGGGCGGGCCCGGACGTGACCGCGCACGCGACACTGCCACTCTTCTTCCGCTTCCATTCGACCAGGGTTGACATTATCCTGTAAATACGGTAATTGCCGCCTCCCCGGTAACACTGGGCCCCGCGGGGCGGGGCGAGTCAATTGGCCCCGCCCCCGAGGGCCCACCCGGGCGACTACCTTTCCCAGCGCGCCTCGCGCGCGGTGACGTTTCCCCCGGAGGTGACGGTGGCAGCGATGGCGGCGCTCGGAGCGTGCCGTTGCTTGTGGGGACGCGCGGCGGGCATGGTCGGGGGGCTGCGGCGGGGCCTGTGGGGGCGCCGCCGGCTCAGCCAGGCCACTGG